GACTCCACCAATCACCTCAATCTCTGACTGCGTAGGCAAAAGATTGTCGTCAGCTAGTTAGTTGATTCAGCCACTCAGGAAGTGAGTGAGTGAGCCAGTGAGTCAGTTGGTCAGTTCGTTGGTCGGTTGGTTGACTCGATTGGTTGGTGGGTTATTAACTTAGTGTCAGATAATTTTCTCGTGCCTTCTTTCCTTCCTTGGATCGGTCAGGTCCGTTCCCCCTTCAGTCAGTCAGCACGTCAGTCAGTGACGGTGGGTCAGTAAGTCAAGCCTTCAGGCCGGCAAGCCGCGTGTCCGTCCCAATTGTCAGCCGGCTGCTTAGTGAGTCAGACTGTCCGTCAGTCAGTTAGTTGGTTTCCTTGGTTGGCTAGCTGGCTGCTATGTTAGCTGTTAGCTGGTTTGGTGGCTAGTTGGTTAGCGGAGTGTTTATGACCACTTACTTTAGACTAGATAGCTAGTTGGATAGTCAGTAAGTCAGTCATTCAGTTAGGTAGTTGGTCAGTTGGGTACTCAGTCAGCTTCGAATCATCCAGTGGTTGCTTAGCTAGCTAGCCCGCGGTTACGTTGGCCTCCTAAACCAAGCAGAAACCCTGAACGTCGTAAACCCGAAGCGCTTTGCTCGAAATTTCCCACAGCAGTCACGACAGTTGTTGCTAGGGCACTCTGCGTCATGTGCTCGCGGGGAGTGCATGTCCCAGGATCGCTCGCATACCTGGGCAGTGTTACCAATCACAAAGCATGCTCCGACTGTGACTGGCTGGGTGACCGGTGAAAATGCAAGGCAACACCATTCCGAGACCCGCTGCAGCTCCACAGCGACGTTCATGGCCTCGCGCGCGTGAGCTCGGATTGTCGTGTTGAGATGTCGGCGGGCATGCTTGAGAGATTCTTCGTGGAAAGTCACGAAACAGTAGAACTATGGAAGTCAGTCCGGGGCAAATGTTGCGGATTGCTGCAAGATGCTGCACGGCACCGTGCTGCCTCCGCGAGGGGTTCGGTGAGAGCGGACATGTTGTTCGCTGCAGACACGGCCTGCAGTGCTGAAGCTGCAACACATGATCAATCTATGCACATGCCCTCTGAAGCAAAAGCTAGCTGTGGATGTCACCCCCTGGCTCTAACGCCTCATTGTCCAAAGACACCCGTTCCGGGTTGCACTACAATAAGTTTGCGGCGCACATAATCCACGAACAAGCAAACAGGGACCCTTTTCCGCTGCCAGAACTAATTTGGCACGAACTGCACGTGGTCGCAGCTCAACACAGGACTCGTGGTAGCAAGCACCTCTCAATGTACCATGACAACCTAAGCTCTCCGAATGAAACTGATCGATGCTTTAGGCTGAGCGGCCACCGCCATCGCATCTGCAATCTCAGCACTGAGCATCATGCGAACGGGGCCTCGAATTGCCTGCGGCATCGCAAAGCCGAAGAGAGTGAACAAGAAAAACCCGGACATGACATCTGATGATTAAACAGCTGTGGCTCTGAGAGCACTGCGGTTCAAGTCATGGCGAAAACGGATCGCACGTATGATGCAAGGGCGATGCTAGTGATGGTAACGACCATGAGGCAATTGCAGCAGATAGAGAACATGGTGGTGATTGCGGTTGCAATGGTGACCGTGACCATGGTGACGATGCAGTGATGAAGGCGCTGCTGAGCAATGACAGATGACAAGTGATCACGTTGCCGGTATGCAGCAAGAATGGGTGTAAGTATACATGTATGCATGCATGCATGCATGCATGGATGCACGTGTACATATATGTATATGTATGTTCACCAGTCACAAGCCGCTTCGTATACCCAAAATGGCAGAAGCATGAGAATGCAGTGCAGCCTTTTTCGTCCGATCCGGCTGTAAAACCAAAAATGCATCGAGCGGAGCGCTTCACCACAGCCGTGGGGGAAGCCAAAAAGAGGATCAAGCAGCACGCTTAGCCATCGGACACAAGTGGCCAACGATAACCGAGGAAGACGGCGCCAGAGTGATGGAGGGCCACTGGAGGGGAACAAAATGAAAGAAGACCAATCCACAGTGAAGCCTTCAGAGGCATCAAACCCTAGAGAGACACCGTATGTACGGTGTGACTGTCGGCACCAGCGAAAAGCCCGAAAAGCCCGAAGGACATGGCAGATGGTTACGGCATCTAAATGCCCTTCCATCTCGCGGCTTCGGACGCAGAGTTATCGCAGCGGAAAACACAGTGGATGGGAAGGTGCCCGCGCCGAGGAGCTCGTGCGCCCAGAAAGCAAGCGCGCACTGGGCAAGGATCTCGCGCGAGGCAATAAAGTTCTGGGTGGAATCAGATTCAGAGAACCACGGAAAAAATGGCCAGTTCTGCGTGGGAGAAGCGATGCTAGACGAGTTGCCGGCCGTCGCGCAACAAACCCGCCCAGGCCAGAACATATTCAAAACGAGGGCGCACCGCAGTCCCAGAGATGCGAACCTTCAACAGAGAGTGCAGCCAACCTTAAACTCCCAGTAAGCAGGAGGTCCCGAGACAGCAGGGAGCGAAATTGGGCCGAAGGCCGCTGTATGGCCGTCATGGGAAGAACGGGGTGGTGGTCCGAGAGCGGAGCCAAGGATGGACGGAAGGAACAGTGAAGAAAGCCAGAGTAGTTTACCGGTGCGCTCCAACAGGTGGGTCGAGCAGCGGCGGGAAGACAAGGCTTGATGCAACAGTGCACACAACAGCTCGAACTTTCCGGCCACGATTCAGTTCCCAGCCGATCCAAACGACGCGCTGCGACTTCGCGCCTTTGTGCCAGGACATTGGTACCGAGAGGACCACAAGGGAAGCACAATCAGCGATGCCCACAAGGGAGCAGGGACAGAATCCAGGAGACTGAGAAGGTCATCCACACAAAAATTTTAGCAGAGTGACGAACGCGGATAAGGCGATGCTGCACGCGCCCAATAGAATGAAGAGACACGGGCACCGAAGTTCAATGTAAGACACTGGGTAAAGCTTCTGGCGGTGGCAGAAACAGAGTAGTCTGCGGTCCTCGGGGCGTATGACGATCCGCCTATGTGACATGATGTGCTTTGGCAACATCGAGAATGAATGAGGCCGAGCGGTTCGGAAGATGGGCATTGGATGTGACACCAGACACGGACGAGTCTACCACCAGTCTCGGTGGACGACCTTCAGCTAGCACAACTCCGAGCTTGCCGACGGCAGTGGACCGGATAGAGGCGACGGAGTTCAGAATCACCGGCCCGGACAATACGGACCAAGGGTTGAGCGACTTCTTGAGCCAGCAACTCATCGGTGACGGAGGCAGGGCCCAAGCTGATTCACAATGCTGGAGAAGAATCACAGTGACATCAGCCTGCTTCCGACGCCAACGGGATGCCCGGGTCACGACAACGGATACAGAGACAGTGCCAGAGATTGCTGCGAAATAGCTGGCCTCCTTTAAGCTTCAGCAGTTTGTGCCAAGCAGCATCATCTTTAACAGAAAGGAAGGAGCGGAGGTCAACCAGAAAGGGGGCCAGCTCAGACTCCGACAATGGAGGAGACTTGGAGCCCGAGTTAAGTGCGGCAGCAATGCGCTTGGCGAGACCCTCATCTAGCAGACGGCGAGCCCACAATGGTTGCAGAGAATCAGTGGAGTCCGGACGCGGCCGAGCAGTACTGCTAACGGATACAGTCCCCGCTCGAGCCCAGTGGTTTGTGCGGGTCCGTTTCGTGACGAGGTAAACACATCAAATCAAAGCTCGGCAACCTATGTGCATATACAATGCACATATATAATTCATATACATGTATGTGTATATATATATATAGGTACACAGATGAATACTTGGGCTTGAGGCATGTGTTTCTCAATACATGCAAGTCTTCGTACTGTAGCTTTTTGCACTCACGATCTGCGGTCGGCCCCTCCCACTTAACATCGTAACTCTGGTCAATTCTTAGGCCGCAGGATGTGCCGTACCACAAAAGTGCTCAAGTTCTGCTTCCTGGTGATGCCTCGTAGTAGTAGGTAACGAGGCGCATCTGGTGCATTGTGCACAGCCTCCGGATGCTCAGTACTGATGACCGGTACCCAACGAACCACAACATGACATGGTTTCGGTTACAGTTGCGGAGATGGTTTAGTAGGGTTGAGGGCATGCTCGCAGCTTCGGCGGTGGGCACGCCTGGGCCCAGATCACACCCACATTAAGAGCCGACCTCCAGCTCAAGAGCCCTTCGAAAAAGACCTTGTACCTTTGACAAGGGACCCGACTAATGCCATGCCCAGCCCAGCCCACCATGCTGTACTCATGACCGGAGTGCCCTACTCCGGTCATCTAAGCTTGCGGAACAACTTGATGTGCTCAAAGACTACAAACATAGAGTGAGTCAAAACCTGCAGTGACAGCCAGTTGCCAAGGCATCGCAGCAAGAATGGCCTGCACAATCTTGGACAGTTCAGAACTTCCGGACAATTCAGAATTTCCGTCAACTTTGAATGACAAGTTCTCCATCCTTCTCTGACATCCAACCGAACAACCTTCCAGCATTCAGAGCTCCACAGCAAACACAAGCACAAGCCCCGGTGGCACTTATGGGTAAGGGCATGCCTTCACAAGTCCCCTTCACGACCCAGCCCCGGCCGTGTCAGCTTAGGGATGGAAGCGAACTCAGCTCCCTCGATAATGGCGCTGTGCGAATCTTCGAAGATGCGCTGGTTTCCTGGGCTTCGGGCATACCGGAGTAGCCCCAATGATGTACTGATATGAACAAACCGTAAGCAAGATCATTATCACAATCATCATCACCATCACCACCCCCATCCTCGTCCCCCCGCCCGTCCCCGTCCGCATCCTCAATCCTCACCCTCACCATCACCGCATCAGCATCGAAGTAAGACAGCAGCAATGGCAAAAGCAATAGCTGGAAGTGAAATTGACAATCTAAAGCCGTAAAGACAATGATCTTGCTGGTAGTTAGGGCACTGGTTGGGATGCCTGAGAAATGCGCGAAGGTCTTGGAATGATGGTGCTCAGGAAAAGGCCGATAACAAGCGCAGCCCTTTCCAAATCACGGACTGCATCATCTGTCGTAAGAGCAGCAATGAGTCCTCGTCGTCAGAGTCAGATCTTATAGAAAAAAGGCGCTTTTTCGAAAGAGCCGAGTGTCTCCTCAGAGATTCAAGGCTGGATTGAATGGACACCCCCAGAGCGCAAAAGAGAACCTCGGGCACAGCGATGCTCCAATCCGATTGGCTGCATCGGTTTACGTCCAAGCTTGAGGCTTCCAGCTACGTCTTGCTTGCTCCATCGATTTCAGTAGAAGGCAACATACCAAAACTGGCGACATCGATCTCGCCTAGCCGCATCTTTAAGCATCTTCTGGATCATGCTGCCTTGCCTGCCGGCGATGTCCACCAGGAGCCCGGATGTTTGAGCACCGGAGGTCTCGGCAGCCTTCGGCGGAGATAAGGGCTCGTTTGAGGGGTCTACCAATTCCGCAATCTGCACGTCCGAAGCGCAACCGGCATGCTAGACTGGACTACCTCGAACGATGAAAGAACAAGAAACCTTGCTAAGTAAACCCACCCAGGCCTCCACCAGCAGATTTACCACATCGTCGGACACAGCAAACAATACCATGTTCTGCTCGTACAGCTCCTGGGACAGATGCTGCAACACTGCACGGTACGGTAGAAGCTGGAGAGCCTAAGGACTAGACTAGATTCCATTACCCCACCATGTTTGGGTTACTCGGCAAGGCACGTAGAGCACTGACCCGCCAGGTGAACTTCCGGTGTTCTGCGACAGGAGAGAAGCCATCGAGGTGTAGACGGGCAAAACTTCGTTTTGCAGGTACTCCAGCACATTGGTCGGTGCCGCCAGGATTTGGTCACTGCTGTTTCCGAACATCAGATTCTGGAGCGTGGCACCAAAAAGGGTGATGGTGGCCTCCATCTTCTCCTTGTTCTCTTGAGGCTGTATGCCCAACGCTGCCAGAAGGAATTCGTTCGTCATCTTCTGGGCGAGGGTGCGTTGTTTCCCTGCCATGTTGAGCGTGTTGCTCCACTCGGCGTCTGTTGGGGCATGTCCGATGACAAGGCCATGGTCACAAATGATACTCCTGTTGCAGCTCACCTCTCCAGGGCACGTTCTGATTAGGGACTTGTTTAAGATGGGTACCTTCTGCTCACGTCTGCTGAGGCGGCCAAGTCTCGCAGACACCGTTGTCAAACAGCTCGCTGAGGTCACATTTGATGCACTGCTCTTCCCAGTAAAAACCTGGCCCGAAATCCAGTGTCGCTGAATAAGAGGCACCAACAGCGGGATGCAGCACACAATGTGACACATGATTTCAGGATTAATTAGGTTCGCAACAAACACGTCTAATCACTGTGCCCAACAGCGGCAGGATGTCGAGAAAGCATGTCAACATCGGTGGAGCACGTCGTGCACCAGGCGTTGGAGAAAAAACACAGGTGAAAAACGCCCCAAGAGAACACTTAAGTACCCACGTCTCAGCTTCTGAGTTCCAACAGTGTGTCGCTGCCGTCAAAGGGCCGTCGCATGAGCACATGCTCAGCTCCACGGCGCCCTGGCAGAGAGCAGGTCTCAACGGACTCTCAACGGCCTAGCTTTCGGCATACGTTCCTCAGCCTCTCAAAACTCTTGCCCCCTCCCATCTACTACTGGCCTCGAAGCTGGTTGTCAGCCCAGGAGGACACAAGGTGCATGCCACCTGACCTCTCCGATTTGAGAAACTATCAGGTTTATGTCCATCTCGACAAGGCACAGGCCGTGGTAAGTAATACTGCCAGCAAGCATGCAAAAGCGATGGCAAACCGTTGCACATCCTGGTGACCTCATGAGGCTGGTCTGACGAGCCTGGCTGGGATGCGTACGTGCCTTCGGAGCACTTCTGGCAATCAGTCGCCCCGGCTGAGCTTCTGAAATGACCTTCGGCTCATCAAATAACGGACTCCAACACTTACTTCCAAGATCTTGATGCCAGGCTTACCGGACGTCTACTTCTATGCGAACTCGAACAGTACACTGCCACTACACCATTCCCTCAGCCGCTTCTGAGGAAGTGCCTGCTGGACAATCGGAACAGGCTGTTGCCCCCGTCGCCGAGGAGTAGCTCCCCGGCAAGCATTGCCTTCCAAGAGTCGTTCAGATAACACGTGTACTTACTTCGCACGGGGTCCGGTCGTCTTGATAAGGCCCAGCCACTGGCAGCTAGCTGCTCCCGGCTGACTGGCAAAGAAGCCCATGCCGCAAGGCTGGCAGCTCGCCGTTCCACCGGATGCATGCCTCTGTCTGTGACTCGCTACCAAAGAAACCACCATGCACAGTCACAGCTACTGCATGTGTCCGAGGTGCTGCCCCGCCGGACACTCAGTACAGCCCAGCTCGTTGGTCCAGACTTCCCCATCTGGGCAACTGCTGCTGCGATCTGGAGGCAGCCAAGCGCTGCTGAGACTGCAGGTTCCGCTGCAACTGACTCGGTGGGCTGCGTCCGGGCTCCACTGCACGTCCGTCTGGAAGAGAATGCCCGTCTCGGACCGGTAAGCAAGCTGGTTGAAGGTGTCTTCGGGAGGACCTCCAGCCTGACGCAGAAGGATGACACCGTCGCGGTCTCCGAGGGAAGGAGGCGTCGTGGTGGGGCTGACCGCGTTGAATTGTCGCACCCGGCCGGTTATGCCCATGAAGTCCACCTGCAACGAGAGCTCCTCCAAGGCCTGACGGGACGACGCCGTGGCGAGGTCGGCGACTGACCTCCCAGAGCACCAGGGCACAGAGCACAACTCTCAGTAGGCTGGAGAGTTCTACACTATGTCAGAACCCTAGTCTGAAGAGCATGACTCGCTCTAAGCAACAATCGGGCCTGTTACCAGAAAGCATGTAGGCATTCAGGATGCTGGCGATCAGCCAAATGCCATCGTAGAAGTAGCCGGCCCACTGGTGATTGCAGACTCCTGTCCCGCCTCCGAAGCTCGAACAGTCTTGCGTGTAGTTGCTGTAGATGTCTGACAGTCGTCGACCGGACATGCCATGCACATCGTCGGTGTTCAGCATGGGTCCGCGATCTGCCGCGATTGCCCCGAAGGCGGCACGGTGCAGCTCCGCGACAGAGCAAGGGCAATCACTCGCACCAGCCCTTTCCATTATGAAGCCCGGGTTCCACCACCCAGATGCCACAAGGAAGTTATAGTCCGGAGAGAGCATATTGCTGTGATAGGTTTGGCAAAGCAGCATCGAACCCTCGGTCTGATACAATGCCAAGAAGTTGATTCGAGAATCCGTACGCCTCATCTCAACTGTTGCACTTTGCGCGTCCGGAACGTTACCTTCACTGGTAATTTGCAACTTGAACAGGACCGTCCAGTTGTAGCGCCCTGCATCGAGGTCCTCCTGAACGAGCTCTACTAAGAGGTCCATGGCGAGGATATTGATGCTCCGGTAGCCGTACACAATCCCAATCCGTCGGAAACTCATAAGCATCATGAACCTCGGGTGTTCCCCAGCAAGGGCATTGCGGTATCGCGAGTCATACAGGTACGTTCCAAACAACAGCACGGGTGCATTCACGTGGATGTGATTGGAATGCTTCCATTTCGGTACCAGCTACTTCATGAGACGAGACGAGAATCTCAGATATGCGGCTGCACGCCGAAAACCTATCAAATGGCGGCCCTAACCTTTGATAGTTCAGCGTAAGGTTTCGGTTTCAACGATGCTTCTAGTGCAGATGCAGGAAGCTCGTAAACTGCAAGGACGTTGAAACGGAAAGAAGGCGCCATGCGTGTGAAGTAGGGATAGCGCGATGAGTCGCTCAACCTCGTGGAAACGCACCCAGGTGAGACCTGCACTTCTGCAACCCAGTTGGACAGGCTGCTTGCAGCTACAGCTTGCCAAGATACTGGTACGTCAACCGGTGGTTAAGGCTAATTAGTGCACATGGGTTGGCGGTTGGCATGAAGGTAAGCGAACACTGCGCAAATCTTGCGTCTGGCCTGCAACACATTAAAATATCGCGCTGCATCATTGACTGCCTCACACGATGCACTGCAGGAATCTGCGAAGATGACGTGCTTCGTGGGCCCAGACGTGCAAGCTTCGATGGTTGCTTGCGTTGCATCCGGCACGGTGCACTTCGAGTCGCCCAGGTACACATTCAACCGATATCCTGACAACAAAGCACTGTTCTCCACGTCCTGCGTTGCTGCTGCAATGGCAGGCTCCACCATGGTCATGAGGTCTCCCAAGCCGCCACTGTACGGGCTAATTACCGCGACATTTATGTCGTCGACGCTGGTTCGAACGGGATTGGCTGCCACCGTTACTTGACAACCGCTGCTGTGGTACCGGCATGGCCATGCAGTGTTGTCTGTCGTGGCAGTGCACAGCGCAGGACACTCTGCACCAGCCAATGTCGCAGCGCACGCAAGGAGCGCAAATCTATGCAATGCCATGGCTCCAAGGCCCTTCAGCAGGCACGATGCAACTTTGAGCCCTAATGGCCTAACTCGCACCTTCAGTCCGGAGTCGCCTACATCATGTAGCTCCCATGTTTCTCTGAACAGGAATACGTCGCTTCGGTCCCTGTCCTGCTCAGAGACTTCGCAGCTTTAGCACTCAACCTGTACCCTTTCGCCTTTCTGCACTCCTTCGGTTTATGGGTCTACGGTCCTGGCTTCGCCATGGCCAGCAAGGGAGCTGTAAATCGCAACTTCGAGACGAGCGGGTGACAACAAGGTCTTTCGGTAATTTCGACGCGATGTGCAGGTGCGCTTTGCTGGCAGCTCCTACACTTAGAAACGAATCGAATGGTGCATGATGCTAGGCTTGCGGAAAATACACGGCTAGCGAATACGGCTACTGCAGACTAGATGATACAGGTACGACTTCTGGCTTCCGTGATGTCACTACGGGTGCTACGATTTTGTCACAGATGCAACAAGTGCAGATCTCGCTAATGTGTAAAGGTGGAGGACAGGAGTTCGATTTCCTGAATGCCAACCTGCTGAATGTCCCCCCCCTATACAGCCAGAAGACCCATCTTTCAGCCACTGATCATTAGTATATGACGGTCTGTGCGGAAACATGACATGGACACACGAGTCATGTTGAACAGCCCTGCTCGTCATTCGGCTCTGAAGGTGGAAACTGGGGAGCTGGCCCCTGTCCAGCTGTCGTGGCATGGAGGCTTCAATGCTGAAGACGCAGAGTGAATCTTGAAGCTTACCGTGAAGACACGACATCCTATGCGGCGGTTCGCGGCTCTTACTTCCCCGAAGAGCTTGCTCCACACCTTTCCCACAAACACAAACACCCAGAAACCTCCACACCCGTATTAGTCGGTTGCCTGCGCACCTCGCGGGGTATAGGCCCAAGAGCAAAGCACGAAGGTAACCTACATTGGTTCGCAGGCCATTACGGCCATTGTGGCAAGGCGAAAACCTGCACAGGCATCGCCACCGGTGTCTGCAAGCCTTCAAAGGTCGCTGATTTGGCGGTACCGTAAAGGCAAAGAAACGTCATTTGTTAAGCATTCGACGAAGTAATTCTGGCATTCGGCCGAGACCCCAGTAACACACATGTTTAGCGTCTTCCTAGTCTTCCTTAGCATCAACTGACTGTGTCTCGGGAATCGAATCTGATGAGGCTGCAGCACTAAGGCTAACAGAGGCGCCCCATGGTCCTTTGCAGTCGGCAAGCCCTTTCTGACACGCTTGCAAAGTTGCTAGCTCACCCACAGTCACATCCAGAATCACTCTAACTGTAACTCATAACGAAACTCTGCAGTGTCTTGTAGCATCGACCATGTCTAGAAATCTTGCCTCCGTTGGTTCTGGCTGATTCCGGGTGCCTGGTACAGAGACTTCAAACCTGCTCAGCGACTGAAAAAGTCGAATTGTACTCAATTAGGCCTCGCCGGCCTTTCATGTTGCAATGCTGCAGCCTCTCCTTCTGTCGTGAGATCCAGCTGCAATGCGAGCTTTCAGGATCTTGGTCCGCTAAAGTTCGTCCATGTGGCGAGCATCGGTTTAGGCTGACATCACGGTTTTTGTGTCCTCGGCTATGCCTGGGAGTCTTGGCCACCCTTGTTGCTCTTGCTCCGGTGCGCAGATCGGTACATGAAGCCTTGGGTGCACCATGGATCAGGCTGAGTGATGCACACCAAACAGCACATTGTCGAGTCACTATCTGGGGCCGGCACATTTGACGAAGCGTCGTTTCTACCCAGAAAGCTGAAACAAGTAAGGCAAACAGCACATGAAGCATCGATCCTCTTCGTCCTCTTGTCCTCCCAGTGAGGAGGATCAACCCGCTCGTGTTCCCCCTGAGCAAGTTCACCCGTCTTGTCTCCGCTGTATTTTGCTCCAGGACACGTCCCGTTCAAAACAAAAAAGGTGGTGTCTGAGTTTCTGCTTCGCCAGGGATGCCGCAGGCCTCTTAGACTATAACGGCTCAGGTCAATCTAGTCTCGTCATCTGTGACTTCTGCTTGCGGACACACTCAGTCGCAGATCAAACGGACGTGCACATTCTAGATTCATCATTCCGTATTGATGAGGATCATGGTGCGCGTGCTCGGAAGCTTTCGGGTTTTGTGCAGATTTCGCTTCGCGCACTCGCAGAATGCAGGCAAGGCTTTCAAATGTAGCAGCGAAGTGAAACCCACGACCGGCAAACCAGAACTCATCAACCAACAAGCAAGCAGGACTTCCCTGCCTTCAATCCCGAAAAAACCCCATGGATCCACAATAAAGCGGGCACCGACACTACAGCTCTTGTGGAAGTAGCAAAAACAAGTAGGTGCACGCACGGGAGCCAACAGGATTTGAGAGCTGAGCATTACGATTGCAGCGCAAGTGAACAGGGACAGACCTGTTTGCCGGAGCATGGTGCCGCTCCACCTCTCACAAGAATCATGCCGGGAAAAACCCCAAAGAAATTTTCCAATCAAGCCAAGTTGCATCCGAGTGCGGAGCAGCACAGCAAGATGAGTGCCATAGTTCCAAACGTGGCCACGAAGATCCTTAGAGAAAGGCGCTGCTGCGCAACGATGACGACCACGACCACGAACCAGCAACAACAGTCGCAACAACAACAACAACGACATCATTCATTTCATTCAGACGCTCGTGCGGGTCGTCCCGCACCTTGGCGGGCATCGGAGAGTGTGAAACTGTGGCTTACCTTGCGGCTTAAACGCCGCATGCCGTCCCGAGGGAGCTGCACAAGCACACTGCAACCACTCCGAGGAATTTGCACTGCAATGTGGCCTTGGTAGAATTTTGCAAGCTGCAATGATTGGATCATACCGTGATTGGTTTTCCCGCGAATCCGTCCATGCTGGTCAAGTCTGGCGGACTGCTCAATATATCGCTGTACACAGCTGACACTGCACTGCCGGCAAATACGAAATCGATGATGTATGTTTGCTCTACACGCCGTGGTCGAGCTGCTTCTGGGATTCGCTTCCAAACTTCTAGCCACATAACCAATGGACCCTCCTGTCGCCAAGAAGTTGCCAGCTGCACTTCAATGAGGTCCGGCACAAGGATTCTCCAGGTTTGTTCTCGCTTCGGAATTTTGTTAAACAGTTTAGCTGGTTGCTGTACGGTCTAGGCTGCTCAGAGCATCGTTGCATTCCGGGGAAATCAAACAGGCTAGATGATGCAATTTGGGAGGCTGCCGCACCGTATTTTTGCAAGAATTTCGAGTCAAGCTCAAGCTCAACTTTTGTGCGCCCCCTCCACTTCGAGTGGGCGGAGGGCCAAAGAATTTGCCTGACGACCACTCAGGATATGGATGTGTAGGTCGCAGGGAGGACCATTGCATGTTAAGCACTTCTGCCTTGTAGTTGTCCTCAATTCGTCGGCCCGTGTCGTCTATGTTGCGGTTCTCATAGTGCAGAACTGTTCGTCGACGTCCCGTCAAGCGAAATACTCCAAGCGGCGGAAGTTGTGCTGACATGTGCTGACGATGGCTTGGAGAGGTCTCTCCGAGGCTCGGAATGAAAACACGTCAATGTATGCCTGATTGTGTCGAGATACCACTGTGTTTCCGGGTGATACTGAAACCAGTTTCGTTGAACTCCGCCCCACGGCAAAGTGGACCTCCTGCGATTGCGTCAGGTACCATCGAGGGTGTCAATGTGCATGAAGATGCAGCCGCTTCGGTCACATCGGTAAGCCTGAGCATACGCTCGTAGGAGACAGCATCAGGCTGCACGTGCACTGGATCTGAAGTCACGAAATAATCCGGCCATAGTGGGGTGTTCTGTGCAGTGTCGGAGGTTACCTCAGGAGCACGTGAGAAGAAACTAAGGCCAGAAAATGGCACTTGGCGATGGGTGACCGAGGAGCGTGCAGTGCGAACAGTGGACTGGCCTAGGCGGATGCACAGTCAAGAAATTGGCAGCAAACACAAATCATGGGAGCGCCCGTAAGGCTGTGCATGGGTTTCTTCATAGAGTTTCACTAATGAGGTACCACAGAAAGCCTAGCTATAACACAAAGAACGCAAACGCCAGTAGTACTGCACAACGTCCTTGACAGGGGATAGCTGCTCCCGCTTCAGCTGCAATGCCAAACTGTCGGAGAGAACTGCCACCTCCGTCGTGGATGGAACACAAGCCGAAACCACCGTCTTGACCATACGCATCTCAAGGACTGTCATAGATTTGCGGTTGAATTCACGGAAAACTCGGCCTCGGAGAGTGTCTGCTGGTTCAAGCTGTGGATCCATGTCCAAGTCATAGCTCTTTCTCCAATCCGCCATAAGCTGTGACATGTAGGCCCTCTTGAAACGGGAGAGGCAGGCGATTGTCCTTCAGGGCAGGGATGCTTTGGAGGTGCTGTTCGGGCTCAGTCTCCCAAGTAGATTTATTGACGAAGAAGATGTAACCCTCGAGGGTCTCGATCTTCACAGAAGTGCAAAGCTCCTGGATCCATGAGGTTTCCAAGCGAGCATGCTTAAAACACATTTGAAGACCCTGGTCGTCCTCAGTCATGGTCCCGGAAGAGTCTCACAGAGCCCGTGCCTGCAGGTGTGCAATCACAGACAAAGCCACACCGTGAGAACACTGAGAGCGCGACTGCAACCTAGAAGCAGTGTGACCTGAGGAAAGCAGTGCAATCATGCAATGCGACAACCGGATTTTCACCATAGGTGCTGAGGCTCAAACGAAGATCAGACACCTTCTACGCCTCTCACTCATCAGCTCCCCACCCCGCTCGATGACAAGGGCGGCAGCAGTGACGAACTTGGCCAGGGCGAGCACCTGGGCGGTCACGGCATCCACACAGCCTAGAGGGCCTAGCACATGCTGGATTGCCACAAGGAACATTGCAGACTACCGCATTGGGCGGCGCATTCGGTGGAGGATGAGCAGGCCTTAGGCCGCCTCCATGTGCATTTCCCTGACCTGGATGAGCAGCAGATCCACGGTGCGCCTGTTCTGC